ACGTTCATCGTAGTATATTGTTTACATTTTGTTGGTAATAAACAACGGTTATTTCAGTAGTTTAAACAACATGAATGGAATTAATTTGTGACAAAAAAAAATTAGATATTTTTCTACGATTTTTATATTTCCGAACCGATACGACAACATAACCTTCAAGAAAAGAGTATATTCCTTTTTAAAAGGCCGGCAGCACACCTGCAATGTCGCTGGTGTTGTGGGTGATCATGGGCGGCGGTAGTCACTTACCATCAGGTGAGCCGCATGCTCGTTTGCCCCCTGTGTTGTAAAAGAAAAAGATTTATTATCTCTGTAAATGCTCACACTATTTTAAAGAACAATGTCGATAATCTACAATTAGTAAGAGCTGGCTCTAGTTTCTTTAATAATTTAATCGCCGGAACCCTGAATTTACTTAACTGTCTTATAATATGTCTTATAGTATGTACCGTGGGTGTCGTAAGAGGTGATATAGGGAACTTAATGGTCGAAAAATGGGCAACAGAGTCCCTCTTGAAACATTACTAAAAGCCCAAATGCGGTTGCCAACTCGCTTGTCAAGCGTGACAACTACTAGCAAAACCACCGCAAGGGGGAGGCTTATGTTTTTTTTTGATAGATGAAAATGGTATGGTAACCCCGCCTGCGCTAACGGGATACGCTGGCGGAGCACCAGTGAAGGGTGATCGACGAGAATGAAAACAGGCCAGTTAGCCCATAATGATGAATTCATCACGAATTAACCATAATAGTTTCCAGGGGCAACCGCGAGGACGTCGACCTGTTGAGTATATTGCTAGCAATGGGATTTTTAGTCTCCATTACTAACAATCCCTTCCCCCGGAGGCTTATGTTCAACAGTGGACGGGTAATGACTTATATGGAAGGATATGATCACGACTGTAATTCTAAATGGGGAACAGATACTTAATTCTATTAATATTATAAATGCAAATTTGTGATGATGCATGGATGAAACTTACTTTTTTATGCAAAAACAAATAAACGGATTTTAATACAATTTAATTATTATTAAATATTATTCAGATTTCTAGTCATCATCATCATTTCACCTATTGTCCGCCCACTGCTGGACATAGGCCTCCCCCATAGACTGCCATAAAGAACGGTCCTGAGCCACTTGCATCCACTGACTCCCTACAATGCATTTTAGGTCCTATACTGGGTTTGCCCGTACGGGGTCACCACTCAAGAACTTTTCTTCCCCATCGGTTGTCGGTTCTTCGAGCTATGTGACTCGCCCATTGCCACTTCAGCTTGCTTATTCAGTTTTTAATAAATAAGTGAAGGGTGGGAACCCTTATTTATTAAAAACTAAAAGCGATTGTTAGCAATGGAGTTTGACGGCCCCATTGCTAGCAATATGCCTTATTAAGTGGACCTCCACGTGGTTCCCCCTGGAAACCACCGTGAACAATTCTTGTTGAATTTACGATTGGCTAACTGACCCGCTTCATCCTCACCTACCATCCTTTACTGGTGCCCCGCCGGTGTATACCGATAGCGCGGATGGGATTACCATTCCATTATCACCCATTAAAAAAAAATAGTAAAATGGTAAATAATTGTTTGTTGATAAATATTTTTTGTAGTCTTTACTCAACATTATCTCACTACCTCCGCCCACCACACGCGCCAATCACTTGCTATCCGAATGACGACATGCTATCACCTCTTATCATCACCACTATCATCTGTCTGTATATAATCGGTATTACAGAAATAGGTCATGAAGAAATATTGATAAATTATTGATAAAAAATAAAATACAGTATATACAAGGCGAAGGTTTTGACTTTTAGTTTTACGACTTTTTTTTGTAAATGAATGATAATAGAATGGTAACCACGTCTGTGTACGGTATATGCTAGCAGGGCACCAGTGAGGGATGATAAGTGAGGATTACAAGGCAGGTCAGTTAGCCCATCGTGATGAATTCACTTAGAACTTAACGCGATGGTTTACCTTGGAAACTAGGAGGAGGAAGGAGGTTGACCTGATAGAGTGTATTGCTAGCAATAGAGGTATTAATCATCATTACTAACAATCCCTTCTCCCTTAGTTTTCCGACTAGCCGCCTACATAACGTCAACCCTCCTTGGGAGGATGGGATGAAAGATCATGTGTAATATTAACAAGATAAAAAACTCCATTAATAAAGTAATAAACCTGGTTTAATATCCGGGACCGAAAAAAACCCTCCTTGGGAATGGAAATTGGTATCCGCCATCGACAGTATGAAAGTATCGGAGAAAAAGGAGGAGGACTTTAGGAATTAGTAAAGAAAATTTGTAAAAAAGAAATGGATAATTTTTGAGGAAAAGGGAAAAGCGGGCACTGTAGTTACTTGGGAGGCCGGGTCGTATTCTCACCCATATGTCCTTACTCTCGAACCGGACAGATCACTAGAAAACTTCCCTGGCAAATTTGTTGGTTGCTAATATTACGTAAATAATGTAAATACTGTACTAAAATAAATTTAAATAGATAAATAACTGGATAATATATTAATATAATAAATTTAAGTAAAAAATATATATATAATATAAATTCTTTTATATAAAATTTATGTAAAAGACGACTAAGGGAGGGCGAGGGATGGGCAGCAGCGTCCCTCTTGAAACATCTCTAAAGCCTAACTGCGGTTGCCAATCCGCCAGCCAAATATGGCAACTACTGGCAAAACCCCCCCAAGGGGGAGGCTTATGTTCAGCAGTGGACGATTAAGGGCTGATATGATGATGAAGCTGTGATGATATAAAATAGGAGTATCTACGTTCTTTCCTGTTTTTAGCTGTGGTTTGAATATTGACGATATATGTACGTCCGTGTGTGTGTATTGTTGCAACATATCTCACGTCACGCATGATATTTATATCTGTCAAATAACATGTTTATTATTAGCATCTTACAATAATAGAGAACGTTACATAATTTACTCGTATTTACGATACACGCTAGTTAATATTATGGCCTATGTATTTTTTTTAATGGATGATAATGGAATGGTAACCCCGCCTGCGCTGTCGTTATACGCTGGTGGCCTATGTATTTACAATATACACTAGTTGGGGGGAGGGCTTGTTAGCAATGGAGTTGAGTTTGACCCATTGCTAGCAATATGCCCTATCAGATCAACCTCCACGTGTTTCCCCCTGGAAACCACCGTGAACAATTCTTGTTGAATTCGTCTCGATCCGTCACTGGTGCCCCGCCGGTGTATATCGATAGCGCGGGTGATGTTACTATTTCATTATCACTTATAAAAAAATATACACTAATTAACATTATCGCTGTTACAAGACAATAGGTAGACTTATACAAGGTGTCCCAAAACTCAACGTCAAGCCGAAACGGGGTAACAGAATTGATTGTTAACATCATGAGAAAAATCAGAAAAAAAATCTATCCCATGCAGTTTGAAAATTATAGGCAATTAAGAAAAACCTAGAAATTTGGTCAACCTGTTTCGTTATTGTTATTTTCGGTTAATGTGATTAATTTTTATCATTTTTATTCATTTAAACTTTGCAACCGTAACCCTAAATAACATTTCTAGAATCACAGTCAAAAATAATGGCATAATTGCCCCAAGTTTTCTAGAATTATAGTACATTACTGCAGCGGCCAGCAACTGAGGTATTGATGGACGAACGTGCAAATGTGGGCTGAGGCGCAGCCGAGGCTCACATACGTGAGTCCATCAATGCCTAGTCGTGGCAAAGGCTTGTATAGTACTTTTCTCAAACAATGCGTGGAAATCAAAAACATAATTTTACTTTATAAGTTCAATGACGAATAACGAACAAAAATAATTTTTCACGTGCCATAATGTTCCTTTATTTTTTTTTTCAGCTTTCTCTTGCTTCAGCTTGCAAGCCAGTTCGAAATTTAAATAAAACCTTTTATTAGTTACCTCCTTGGTAGCCATGTTTCGAAGTAAAAAGTCATTCCATTTTTAAATTACAGGATAGATATGAGTTTACATAGTAATTTATCTGGCCGCAAAACACGACAGATATGGATTTTTATACAAATTTTGCCGGCCACTGCCCGCATGTATCTAGCCAGTACGGCAATTTTGATTTATCCCGAAGAAGATTGTCATAATAATGCTCACATTTCCAAGCATGTTTGAGAAAAGACTATTTGTTAAACTATGAATTTAAAATTTTTTAAATTTGTCAACTTTGAAAGGCCCTCCTTTAAAAAAAATGTACTAAAGTGTAAAGTAAGAACAGTATCTTACCTACAGCGTATACCTCGATGTACTACTCGTACTTATTGGATCTTATACATTTTTTTTCCTTTAGTATATTACCAGGCGAATTCAACAAGCCAGTATTCGTAGTAAAAAAAGTTTTTACTTTAAGTTAACCTCTAAGTATTAATTATTTATTTGTGCCTTATAAAATAGATGCCTAAATACATAAGGTACATTTGTGACCAAACAACTATTATCTATTGTGAATGTTGTAATAATTAAAATATATAATTATTATTATAATTTAAGACTTTTGTCATTAAAAATATATTATATTACGTAGATTATGACATTAGGTACACTACTTTACAATAAAAGAATAGGTATTGTTTACACAGCTGTAGTAAATGGGTCATATACGATGAAGTAAATGACTAATGTTTCCCAAGTTTTCTATATTATTATTGATATATATATATATATATATATATATATATATATATATATATATATATATATATATATATATATATATATATATATATAAAATTATACAAAATTCGTCAGTTCGGGTATGTTTGTCCTATTGGTATTTCTGCAGCCACGGAACTGCGCTTGCGTTTAAAAAAAAAATCAAGACCGTATTCATCAAAAATATGACCCTCTTTTTATTGTCAGTCGGCTAAAAGACTGAATGGATTCATTACAATACAAAATATGATGCAACTGCACCCGTATCAAATAAAACATAATCAATGGTCACTATGTCTGATAGTCGATAGTCGACGACTACATAAACGCGACGCGCCGGCTCGCCGGCTCAGAGCTACCGTGAAAGTCAATACACGCTGTCATACAGTGCCCATACAATACACACACGCACGATGTCGAAAAGAGACGCGTCTGTTCACCTTCTCAGGAAGATTGTGCTGGATTTACTTTTATTGTCTGGGTGTAAGTTTTTACAAATACTCTATAAATATTATTATTTAAAAAAAAATAGATTTACCTGTATGTTATACAACTTGTAAACAATCTTGACGTGTTTTTTTTTATAAAAATAACAAAGCAAAATAAATAAACAATTAATTATTTTTTTATTAATCCAATAAATATTAAAATTGCTAATTTTTTATCAATGTTTTTTATTATATGACATATTGTTTATTTTATTTATTTTCTTTTAAAAAGATTAAATTAAAAAACAGACTTCTTAAAACTGGTTATTAATTTTGTCGAATACAAATTGAAATCAAAATCGTAAACGATAAGTAAAACTAAAAATGTGCCCATTCTGACAAAAATTTCGTAAATCAAAAATTCAAAAACAACAACAAATTTTGAGTCTCATACGTAAAGTATCCTGTGCTAAGTTAGGATAGAACCTACCCGTGTACCAAATTTCATTGAAATCGATTCAGTATTTTTTGCGAGAAATAATAACAAACATCCATCCATTTTTACAAACTTTCGCATTAATAATATTAATAGTATATTAAATAAATAACCAACTGATACTTGATCACAATCAATACTTAATTAAGTTTGCGCCAATATTTTTTTTTCTATGGCTTTAGAGACCTCTCACTTACGCCATGCTATATTTAATTCACAGAGTACCCACCTATAAAATAAACATTCTAAAAACCATTCTTTAATTACTCGAATACAATCACAAACAATTTTTTTTTCTTTGTTTTTATTTCTGTTGATATTTTAATCAAAATCTACCAGATTTTACATTCTAACCTTTGTTCATTTTATCTACAGACTCGTATTTAAGTTAACAATTCAGAAATGAATAAGTAGTTAAAAAATATAATTGACATATTTTTATTATCTTTTTATATATTTATTATCTTTTTATATATTTATTATTTATCGACCACATTATAAACAAATGTTTGGCGCGAAAGTCGGATTTAATGCTATATTGCAATATCTTTCAGTCAACTTTTGACAAAATAGCTGTGTACGATGAAAATTATTTATACAGGTGAAATTAAAACTAAAAAATGGTACATAAAACTATCGGTCCATATTAAGACAAAATTTTCATGAATTAAAAATTAAAAAACCTCAAATTGTTTTTAATTTTATTGAGATTGTTTTTTTCTCAAAATACATATCGATTAAAGGGAGATGGCAAACTAAGCTAACGGCATTAGCACAGTCGATCGAAGTTCGGAGCTCAACAGAGAAACCGGCGTACTATGTGGGCAGTATACAAGAGCAGCGCTTTCTGTTTCTTTCTTTCCCGGAAGTGAACTACCTTTATTATTATTAATTTAATATATGTACGCGACGTGTTAGTACGGGAAGCTCAAAATTGTTTTCCGACTCATGTTTCTTTGATGTAAATCAGATTAGATTATACAGATAGAGTGTTTCCATAGAAATACTTCGAGAAAAACGAATCAACTTTTTCATATAATTTTGCGTGATAAATAATTAGGAATGATTCCTCTATAACTTCTACATTTATTCTGTATTATAATTTCTGCATTTTTTAAATGCGTAAACACTCATTTTATGTGTTAAAAAATACGTCGATACATGTTATGCATAAGTATATAGAACACAGATAAAAAAAGACAGCTAATTTGTCAATTAGCTAAAAAAAAGTTGGTCCGTTTTTGAGGCTCGATACTCTATCTATATAATTTTCTTCTATATAACACGCAATGTATTTTACATGTAGGTATTATATACTTCCTTATTTAAAATATGCAACAATAAAGCTCGCTGAATTTAAATAAATACAATACCTACACTTAAATTCTATACAGTTCGAAAATATGTTTATGTGTTTTACCAGAGGGAGACTTTGTACAAAAGTCGATTGCTTGGGTACCTCTGTCCCATTCGTGTTTCAACCGTGAAGCAGTTGTGTTTGCATGGCTGTGTTTCGGTTTGAAGGGTGGGATATGGCGTGAATTTACTGGGTACAGAGGAATAACACCTGAGTCCTCAGGAATGGCAACGCATGGGGGGTATCATGGGCGAAACAGTATACTCTGTTATGTCCATGGTACTGCTCATGTCTATAGGCGACGGTTACCACTTTCCATCAGGTGGGCCGTCAGCTTGTTTGCCATTCTAAGTTTTATAAAAAAAAAAAAAAAAAAAATGTAATATATTTTTTTGTTACATTACATAAGCAAGTTCCCAACACATCTGTAGACAAGCAACGTTATGCCATAACAACAAATACTCATTCTTATGGTGAAACCATAAGAATAAATTAGACAGAGTGGAAGTGACACTCGATACTTTCTTTTGTGAAACGATAATGCCGTCAATATGTCTCTCTCTCTTCTTCACTTCAAATCTCAGATAAAGCGAGAGGGTTGTCACTTTACCATATACCATACCAACTGTTAATTGTTTATTACTAAACGTAGGTTTGACCCATTTTTTTTTTTTGGTTGAGGTTTTGTCGGTAGTTGCCACGCTTGGCAGACGGGTTTTTTAATGGGTTAAAATGGAATGGTAACCCTGCCTGCGCTATCAATATACACTGGCGGGCCAGTGATAGATGATAGGTGAGGACGAGGATGAAGGTGGGTCAGTTGGCCCATCGTAAACAATTCAGCAAGAATTAACCACGATAGTTTCCAGGAAACAGTCGTGGTTAATTTTAACTAGGTATTATTGAGTTTTATCTTTAACTAACTTTAACGCTTTTTACTCTTGAATATTCTGTAGTTAACTTTCAACTTTTCAAAGATTGTTTGTAAAAGATCCCTGTATGAATAAGACAGCTTTGTAAATTAAATATTTTAATATCTCCAATGTAAATTATGTACAATAAAGATCTTATAATACTATACAATAAAATGAATATTATATCAGTCGTTATCTGTCCACTGCTGGACAAAGGTCTCCCCCAGAGACTACCATAAGGTACGGTCCTAAGCCACCTGCATCCACTGAATCCCTATAATGCATTTGAAATCGCGTTTGCTCATACGGGGTCGCTATTAGATTTTTATTCTTTCAACACAAAAAATATAACCGAATTGAGAATCTGCTTTTTGAAGTCATTTAAAAATTCACGCAACCGCCATACCGTCACGCCATCCCATATAAAATAATAAGATATTTGTATGTATGATTAGATGTAGTATGAACGCTATAAACATAAGAGTGACATAAGTATCATTATAAATTGACGCAAAACAATGTACTAGTGCTAAGTGGCAGTCAGTTATGTGAAGAACTATTTAAATAAATGGTTAAATACATAATGAGACACCATTAAATGTGTTTGCAAATCATAATGATGCGAGAAACAAATCTTAGAAACGTTAGTCATCATATAAGTAAATGGTAAAAAAATTTAAGCAGGTTTATTTAGGTAATTCAGATACATATGGAGGGGTCTTATTGTTTCTTGCCATTTACTATAAAAACTATTGGCCCGTGGGACCCGAGATTTGGGATGCAAAGCATTTTGATCGGACTATCGCAGCAGGCCGCATCGAGGTTACTGGTGATCCAAGAGCGTGATAGCTACTTTTTGCGGCGGCGGGGGGAAAGGGATTGTAATGGGTAATAACAGCCCCATTGCTGGCAATATACCATATCAGGTCGGTTCCCATGCGGTTTTCCCTGGAAACCATCGTGATTAATTGTTGTCAAGTTCTTCACGAAATAACTATAAAATCCTATACACTCTTTATGTATGTACATTGTATTTCGTGATATTGCAGTAAATATTGATATGATTTTAATTTGAAGAGATAATCAACTACATACTCATTAATATTTATTGTTTCAGTGGTTGGATGCATATTCATAACTAACTTTCTATGGCAACCATTCGCTCGCGGTTTCTTCTGCGGCGATGAGAGTCTCATGTTTCCTTATAAGAAAGACACTGTATCTAGTAGTATGCTAAGAATTGTAGGCTTGGGTTTACCTATGTTATCGGTAAGTATATATTTCTATCAATTTCTAAATTAAAACAGCTCCCTGGACCTTTGTTTCTACGCTTATAGTTTCTAGTTTTCTACGCTTGATATTAAACTGTTGCATTGTTGACACATTTTTTAAATACACTATCGGGACTAAACACGAACAGGAAATTTACTGATCACCTGCAAATACATTTATACTTTTTAAAACGAATTTATTCATTTTAAAAAAAGAACGTTAATGTTCTATATATAAATATTATATTTTCTTGTAATTGTTTGTATTTATAATAAGTTTACTATAATAATCTTATGAAGAGAAAAATCAATAAAGAGTATTTGTTTATCTATTCAGTTTATTCATTATCCATAGACTAAGCTCCACTTATTATTTTTTTACGCAACTTAGAACGCCAAACAAGCTGACGGCCCACCTGATGGAAAGTGGTAACTGTCGCCTATAGACATGAGCAAGTACCATGGACATAACAGAGTATACTACAATATTTCACCCATGATACCCCCATGTGTTGCCATTTCTGAGGACTCAGGTGTTATTCCTCTGTACCCTGTAAATTCACTGCCATATCCCACTCTTCAAACCGAAACACAGCCATGCAAACACAACTGCTTTACGGTTGAAACACGAATGGGCCAGAGGTACCCAAGCAAACGACTTTTGTACAATGTCTCCCTCTGGTAAATCATATCAATTTAAAAAAATATATCTAAAATTTGGGTAAAAATAAAAATCTTATTTTTTGATTTTTTCTAGAAGACGAGCATGAGTTTTAGATTAAAGAGATTTCCCTTTTCAGATGATCATCTGCGAATGGATTCTATTAAGGAAAGAACAGGATGACGTGATGTGTTTCGGAGTTCGTATCCCGGCCTGGGTCCGGGGGACGTACTGCGCGCTGGCCTCCTTTGCATTGGGCGTTTGTTTCGTGGAATTGACAGCCAATATAGCTAAGAACACTATTGGGAGACCACGGCCTCATTTCTTTGATGTAAGTATTAACTAGAACCGATAAAAAATCTTTATCACAAAAAAAAAACTATTTCAAAACCAGTTATTTCTATTTAAAAACTAAAATACTGAACACCGATTTTAAGAAATTTTCTAACCTTTACAGATTCAAACTTTTTTTTATCATTTATAGAAAAGGTTATACGTAAGTATATAAAAAAAAGAATTATTCAAATCAGTTTAAAATATAAAATTAAAATATAAAATAAAATATAACTGAAATAAAAATCCCCTTATTGAAGTCGCTTGAAAAAGAAAGAATTCAGTTATATTTCTATTTACGTTTGTGACCTCAGAACTTCGTTATTTATAAACCTATTTGGAAAATTCTTTTTTTTTTTAATCTAAAATAATATACTTCCAGATCGATCCTTTAGAAATTTTAAATAAATCGACTAATTATTTTAATTATAATGCCATGATTAAAGTCGGCGTTTTCTTTTATGTTGTTTGGTAATAGGAGGCCTATATCTCACAATGATTGTTTATTAACTCTTGATGTTTTTTTTTTATACGACTGAGGTGGCAAACAAGCATACGGCCTACCTGATGGTAAACGGTTACTGTAGCCTATGAACGCCTGCAATGCAACGTCTTAATAGATTATTAATCGTATTGAAATTTAATATAAAAGTAGTTTAAAAGAAGTAGTAGTAAAAAAGAAAGATGTTTACAGTAGAGTACGATATAGGTTGTTTTTTAAATTTGTCAAACGCAAACGAAGTCACGGATAAAATCTAATAAAATTAATAAATTAAATATATGAATAATAATAAAGGTAATGAAAAAAATTACTATTCAAAAAATGCTTAAATCTAAATTTACCTGAATAAAAATATTTCTTTCTTTCTTTTTTAAATTTCAATAGATTTACTAGATACACTCCTTGCGCCAGTAATTACCGTCTTTTTTTCCTCTACCCAAAGGTTATCTGGAAGAGATTGCTTTAGCGATAAAACCGCCTTTGTTCATCTTAATTGTAATGTATATATTTTTGTATTATTCTTTAAGTGGTGGTTAATCAAGAGTAAATAAATAAATTAAAGTATGTACATTACATTAGTAGGTACATACATTGATTTCATGCACAGACAAATAATTAAAACAGTACTGTATGATAATTATCAATATAACTCGAACTGTTTCTGTATTTTTTCTCGTCCGTCCCGTCGTTTACTAAGCATTTTTTGTGTATCGACCGCCGGACATATATCGAATAGCCATATTATGTGTCATTGATAACGTTCGACATAATTCTATTCATATCGTGTACCTATTACCAGAGATTACGTACAAGGATATAAATTGGTGTTTGTAGTCACTGTTGCCACTTGGTAATAAAAAAATCTTCCGTGATCGATATTGTAATAAAAATCATTATTATTTACTCGATAAGATAAAACTCGATTTGTTGTCTAAACAAGTTTTGAACCGCCTTTAAAAAATGTGTAGGACTGTATTACTTTTGTGCTTCTATTACATAATGTTAATCAGGTATTTTTTTTTTATTATTATTTTTGCTTATCCTATGCTCATTTGTTAATATTATAAAGACATTTTTGTAACATAATCTTAAAATTTTCTTAACTACTTTATCCAGGCGTTTTATTTTGCCCAATTTATATATAAGACAAAACAAAACACCTATGAATCTAGGATATAATTTACCTGTATTGTAAGTTTAATTCGAGCATAATTAAATAATATATATCAAAAGTACCTAATAATAAACTAATAATTACCACCTCTATTCTCTTACATGCAATCAAATATGCTTGCGTGGCTGTGGTTTAAAGAGATATAGCGAAAAGTAAGAGAAAAGACATTAAGAAAAGAACAATCTTTAACCTCGAAATTAGCAATAACCATAGACCATGGTTACAAGTTTTGGATGAACCGTCGATTTTATTGCTTGATTTTTTTATGCAACTTAGAATCGCAAACAAAACTAACACCTCATTTGATAGAAAGTAACAACAATTGGCTAATGACTAAAGACATAAATTATTAATGGAATTAGTTTAAAAAAACTAATTCCATTAATCACGAAACAAACTATATATAGGACTACTATAAATAGGATGGAGCTACGTAGGCTACTTATCCTGTCCTTATCCCTTTTATCCTGGTCAGTTAACATATCCCGGTAATAAAAAAGAGTAATAATTATATTCCAATTTATCAGCTGTGCCGGCCATCAGTGGACTGCAACTCACCAGAGTGGCAGAACCGGTACATCCAGGCGCACGAGTACCACTGCACCGGCAACCAGACGGAACTCTTCAAAGATATGAGGATGTCGTTCCTGAGTGGTCACTCTTCGTGGGCCGCTTACAGTATGATTTATTTGGCGGTGAGCAATTTAAATTTTAGTTTATTTAACTGGTGAAGCTGTTTCAATGAAATCAAAAGAATAGGAACTTATGTTACGCGACATTATTATTATTATTTTTTATACCACTGAGGTAGCAAACAAGCATACGGCCCACCTGATGGTAAGTGGTTACCGTAGCCTATGAACACCTGCAATACCAGAGGTATTACATGTGCGTTGCCGACCCTGAAGAAACCTCTTTACCCCCCTTTTGAAAAACCCCACGCTGTAGTCTCTCGGAAAAACCTCGGCAGGGAGCTCATTCCATTATTTGCCCCGATTGTAAATCGATTTTAATACAATTATAAAAATAAAAAAAATCAGTCATTAGGGTGATCCATTTCTACACAGTAGAACATTTAACCGCTTGATGTTCCTACCAACATCCTAAATTTGTTTGTGGTCATAATTAGTATATTTTTATACTTAATAAGTCATATAACTTATTAACATATAGATTATTGATTCACTCTTGCGCCACCTACCCACTTCTATATGTTCTCCTTTAACCAAAGGTCTGTAAGAGATTGGCCTAGCGCCTAAGACCGCCTTTTGTACCTTTATATGTATATTTGGATCTGTAGTTCATGCTACTGCATTTCAGTTGGATTGATTATGTCATTGTTAATTTTTATGTTTTTGATGCAATAAAGAATTTAAATAAATAAAATAAATAATAACACCTTAGTCCTCAGGAATAGCAACGCGTGGGGGGTGTCATGGGCGAAACAGTATACTCTGTTATGTCTATGGTACTTGCTCATATCTATAGGCGACGGTTACCATTTCCATCAGGTGGGGCGTCTGCTTGTTTGCTAGATCTAGATGAATAAAAAAATGTCTGCGAAACAAAATCAGAAATTACTTATCTCAATGTGATATTTTTACAGCTTTACTTAGAAAACCGCATGGTCTGGCGTGGGACTCGGGTGCTCCGCCACACGCTTCAGTTCGCGGCAGTCATGCTCAGCTGGTTCACGGCGCTGTCCAGGGTGTCTGACTACAAGCACCACTGGAGCGACGTGCTGGCTGGCTACTTCATGGGCCTGGCTGGTGCTATTATTATGGTAAAGAAAAATGTCTAAATTATTAAATAATAACTAACGTGAGTCATACTATATTGTAATTATATATATCGGCTTACACGCGTTTTAAATTCGGGGATGCCCGACTAGTTTCAAACTTAAGATAGATAAGAGCCCGCATTCATGAGCGCGGTTCACGGTAATGTCGCGACCAGCGCCGATCGTATAATACTGTGCAATCATGTTCTTGCGTCGCCGGATAACAAAGGGCCTACCATGAAATGAAATTCTGAAGTTTCGGACTCAATTTCGTGTTTTCGTTCATACCTAATACGGCCCAGTAAATGGAGATTAACATTTCGTTCCTCACAAATCCTACCATAAAAGTCCAAAGGAATAATATTTTAATATTTCTAATGTTTTTAAACTGTAAGTATTATGTAATTTTAACATCAAACTTGTGTTTCGTTCGGCTCCGAATTTTGGAAAACATTTCATGGTAGGCTCTCAGGTTTCATTCCCAAACCACGCTCATAAATAAGAACTTCTATTCAGCTCGAAACTAGTCTGGCACGTGAGTAAAGCCGACATAAATATTTACAGTACAGTTTAAATTATCTCGTACTATTATAATTAAATATTATATTATTATTTGATATATATATCAAAGCATACGATCAGTTAATCCATTTTTTAGACATCAGCAGACTGTCTTATCGTTGAATCAATCCTTTGTTTGTTGGTTTATTTGTAACACTATTGTACAGCAAAAGTTTCAAACTATAGTTCTTAAGAAAAAAAAATAGTACAATAGCAGACTTATCTATATTCTTTTGTTTACATTTATTTCCTTTGTTTCATTAAATTTCACTAGAACACATGTCAATAATATTTATATATATATATATATATATATATATATATATATATATATATATATATATATATATAGTTAAATGCTGCGTACGCATATTACGATATGAGATATTAATTTAGTGTCGATCTTACGATCAAATGAGTCACACGTGTTGCTGAACTTGTGCTTATCTCGCTAATAAACATGTAAACATAATAATTGATATGATAAGCGTTAAATATATTTATTAAATCCGCATTTTAGATCCGCATCAGTAAATGTTATACAAATTATACATTGTACTTGTTTATTTAATTATATACGCATGTACAAAACATTCACTTATAGTAGAGATATTAGGTTATTTCAGTTTCAAATAATTATGTCATTCCCATTGCAAGTTTGTCGTATTTTATTCTTCTTTCGAGAATACAATGCTTTCTATATGATAATAATAAAAGAAATATTAATTTATGACAATAATAATGACGTCACAACAATTTTTTTTATATTAATATTCGAAACAATAATAATCACGTCACTGCAAACTGTTATTACATTTGTACCAGCCCGCATTTCGAATTGGAATCCAAAATAGCATGCCTGCCGCCGTCACTCGACGTTAAAAAGAAATCTTATCAAACCAAATTATGGTTTGATTAGATATTTTTTAATAGGTGAAAATAAAATTATTTGCGTACGCTAACAATATACACTTGCTGAGTACCAGTGAAAAATTATGGGTGAGGATGATGGAGTTAGCCCATCCCAGTTTGACCTTTTCTTGTAATTGTTTGTATCTATAATAAGATTACTATTATAATCTTCTGGAGTAAACAATAAGGACTATCATTAGTCATTTATTAAAAAAAAACAATGTACATTGTGTCTGAAATTATGCATGATCGTACAAAAAAGCATTAAATTAAACTCAATATTAGAAGTATTGAATAACAATAATAAATATATTTCACTTATCCATAATATATACGTCAAATTATTTTTTTAATTCTATGTAGTATTTATCTGTTTGTTCATATGTTTGTTTAAATGTAATATAACAATTTAATTAACGGCCGTGTGGTCCCGGCATAAAATCAACTAAGGGAGGACGAGGCATGGGCAGCAGCGTCCCTCTTAAAACATCTCTAAAGCCTAACAGCGGTTTTTTTTTTTTTTTTTTTTAATGGATGATAATGGAATGATAACCCCACCCGCGCTATCGGTATACACCGGCGGGGCACCAGTGAAGGATGACAGATGAGGATGAAGTAGGTCAGTTAGCCCATCGTGACGAATTCAACAAGAATTGTTCACGATGGTTTCCAGGGGGAACCACGTGGAGGTCGACCTGATAAGGTATATTGCTAGCAATGGGGCTGTCAAACTCCATTGCTAACAATCCTTTTCCCCATGCCTAACAGCGGTTGCCAACCGGCCTGCCAAGCGTGACAACTACTGGAATACCCTCCAAGGGGGAGGCTTATGTTCAGCAGTGAACAGTTAAAGGCTAATATGATATATGACGTATATAATTAACGACTTTATTTTTTCTTTTCTCAGTGGACCTGGGGCACCGATCTAGTGCAGAAGACGAAGAAACATAAATCACTGCCTCAACATGACGTCACACTTACTATACAGAATCACGATACTCCATCGTATTAAGTAATAAACAATATATTAAGACACATTTTAAAACTTAAGGGTTATATTTTAATTAGGAACTTCATTTCTCAATAAATATATTTATATTGCCCAGAAATCACTCAAGAGTACGGATTTTATAAATACATAGAATAAGTAATAAGATAAGAGAACGTTTCTTTTTAAAACATATTACTTTTGTTTTTAAAAATACATAAATAAAATAAAAGGTCGACAGCACATTTGCAATTCTTCCGGTGTTGGACGGTGGTAGTCACTTACTATCAAGTGAGCAGTATGCACGTTTACCTAAGCCCCCTGTGTAATAAAAAAAATCTAATTTGATAATATCTATACTAAGCTGAAACCCAGTGACAGTGTACATTAAACTGGATAACTTGCCTCAAGAAGCAATTAAAATAAAAATTAATGGTTAAACTTTTGTACTAAATAGACCACGTCGATGCGCAGTTTGTAAGAAAAATTCAAAACTGAACAATTAATTAAAATTATTTAGTTTAATTCCAATTTCATCATCATCATCATTTCAGCCATTGTCCGTCCACTGCTGGACATAAGCCTCCCTCATAGACTGCGATAAAGAACGGTCCTGAGCCACCTGCATTCATTGACTCTCTGCAATGCATATGAGGTCGTCACTCTATCTAGTGGAGGGATCGTCCTATACTGCCTTTACCCGTACGCGGTCGCCACTCAAGAACCTTTCTTCCCCATCGGTTGTCGGTTCTTCAAGCTATGTGACCAGCCCATTGCCACTTCAGCTTGCTCATCCTTCGGGCTATGTCGATTATTTTGGTTCTTTTGCAGATATCGTCGTTTTGGATTCTATCACGATTCCAATATCATACATCAATATTTGAAAAATGACTGCTGTAATATACTATAATAAACTTACTTAAATATTAGCATACTAATAGTATATACAGAAATAAACAAAATAATTTAGTAAAAAAAATTCAACAATCATTTTTAGTTTACTCTGCTACTTCCATTGGTGGGCTCCAGCTTGGTACAATTACGAATAATTCCATATTTATTTAAATAAAAATAATAATTAAATATGTAATAAGCGTGTGGTCCCCGAATAGAAAAGATCACCACTTTATTTCCCGTGCGTGCCGTAAGAAGAGACTAAGGGAATTTAGTAGTCGAGGGATAGGCAACAGCATTACTTTTGAAACATCACCAAAGCCTAACTGCGATCACCAACTCACCTGACAAGCGTAGCAACTACTGGCAAAACCCCTCCAAAAAGGAAGCCTTTGCTCAGCAATGGACATGGAATGATGATTATGAATACAATAATAATATATTTTATTTATTTTTTTATTATTATTTTATTTAAATGATAATATTTTACATTAATTATACTAGTCGCTACGAACATGTTGTATCAATATGTTATTAGATATAAGGATATATTTCTTAAACGCCTACTATTTTCATATGAGCAAATTTGTTTTACTGCATTTTCGTATTGTATTATGAACTGTAGATAAAGTTAATTGAAAAAAGAAATAAAGAATTAAAAAGTATGTTAAAAATTTGTTTAATTTAATTTCTTTCACCTAATAAATGTCCTAATTCTCTATCGTATAAATCGACTATTTTTTCCTCGAAATGTCTTCCTTCCTAGTTATTTCTGGCTACTTGAATGATCTATTATATTTATTGAATGAATGAATAAAAACTCCTTAAAAAAATAATACAGATTATAAAGATTAACAATATGTATACAAAAGAAAATTGCTACTAAATTACATAAACTTCATTACAAGCAAGATAAAGAGGCAACAATGGGCGGCCTTACCGCTAAATAGTGATCTCTTCCAGGCAACCTTATGATAAAGATATTTATTGGTACTTTATATAAATATATATATGTAATACGCTTTTACCCGCGACTTCATTCGCGTGACCGTGATATGCTCACTGATTTGGTTAGAAAATAATCTATATTCTTCTCCGTACCGTATGCTATGTGTGTACCAAAAATTATAATGATTGTTTAATACGTTAACAGGTAATGAACAAACAAACAAATTCAATTTCATATTTATAATATTAGAAGGATTTATTTTTAAAAAATTCTCAAAGGGGATAATAATCGTAAATGTATATATTACAATGCGGCCATTGCGGTAGACACGAATACAAAACTATGTCACGTCTATCCGTTAAAATTTTAAAACCAATTCAAAAATATTCGAATGTGTTGAAAAAAATTCATTAAAATAATTTATTAATATTTATTAATTGGCGCATTTAAGATTAAAAAAGACATTATGTACTCTAAGACATGCCTTTGCGTATAGTTAAAGCCTCTACTTGCCTCCTGAGACGGGCATCGGACGAATCTGGTGTATTTTTTTATTCGATTGTAATGGAATGGTAACCCCGCCTGCGCTAACGGTATGCGCTGGCGGAGTACCAGTGAGAGATGATAGGTAAGAATGAAAAGGCAGATCAGTTAGCCTATCGTAATAAACACGCCAGGGGGCACTACATGAAGATCTATTTGAAAGGCTATATTGCTAGCAATGGATTTGTTAGTTCATATTAGTAACAATCCCCCCCAGCCCCTACGACGAATCCTGGTGTGGGCACAGCTTCAGCTCCCCCTTAAATACGCTTATGTATTTTTTATTTCTATTAAAGGTCAATAATTGAAAACTAACAGAAAGAGATAGATAAATTGGAAAACGTAATAAAATTACTCTGTGATAAATCCTGACTCAGATCCGCTGATTACCATATAAAAGACATCAACGAGTAACTTAAATAAAATATTTTGTTATTTGACGTATTTTTATTTTCTTTAGTTTTTTTTTTTATATTAATAAATGCAGAAATCATCATAAATAGAATCCATTAACCCATTATTTCGCCTCTCAACCATACCACCAAGCCCACACACCACCAACCACCGAGGCAACCTCTTTCTTTCTTGTATATGTCGTAAGAGTCGACTAAATTCAAAATTGAAGAAGATATTGCCTAATATATACACAAAAATATACCATAGTGGTCAGAATTGAACAGAGAAACAATGACTTTTTAAAATAATTTGTTAACAGATACATACAGAAGTTAAGGTGAAAGAGATTGTTATTAATGAGGTTTAACAGGCCTATTAATATGGGCTTAATAGGGTATTAGGTCACTCTTCTTCCATTGACTGTCATAAAGAATGGTTCTGAGCCACCTACATTGCAAATTTTGTAAAATAATCAATTTAAGAAATTAGAGTATTAACTCGAAGAACATACACAAATTATATAAATAAAATATCAAGATTTTAACAAAGTATTGTGCACTTAACTATTATGTTTATTTTTCCATTTCAATAACCTTATGTGTACAATAAAGAATAAAGAAAGAAAGAAAGTATTGTTAAATAAAACCAAAAATAGACACATTATTTGTAATAGTGTTGGTAAGCATGCATATTTATATAATGATGTCATTATCATCATATCAGTCATTAATTGTCCACTGCTAAACATGGGCCTCCCCCATAAATATTGCCAGTAGTTGCCACGCTTAGCAGGCGTGTTAGCAACGGCAGTTAGGCTTTGGTAATATATAAAAATTTTATTATGTTACAATATCAAACTTTTTTACTTAAAGGGAAGGTCCCATCTGATGAATTTATTACGGGCTTTAGATCGTATAGTTACTTCACTACGGATAGATAGATTTGTTTATATGCCAGAAGATTGTTTTTACAGATATTGATCTATTGTGAAGTACAATTTTTTTTATACAACTTAGAATGGCAAACAAGATGACGGTCCACCTGATGAAAAGTGGTAACCGTCGCCTATAGACATGAGCAGTACCATGGACATAACAGAGTATACCGTTTCGCCCATGATACCACCCATGCGTCGCCATTCCTGAGGACTCAGGTGTTATTCCTCTGTACCCAGTAAATTCACGCCATATCCCACCCTTCAAACCGAAACACAGCCATGCAAACACAACTGCTTCACGATAGAGATATCCAAGCAATCGACTTTTGTATAAAGGTACTTCTGGTGAAGGACAAATGTTCGCCTTATAGTCTAAAGCATGCAAAATCATTATTGGCTAGGTACTGTATTAATAAGTACTGATTCGATTCCCAGCTAAACTTTAAAGAGGTTCATGTCCACCACGATATCACGATTCTCGGATTCCTCCTCCGTTATAGAACTTGGCAAACAACGGATTTATCTATGTGCTGACGTAATTCCTAAATTAGGAATGTCACAGCTAGCTGCAGACCGGTCAATGAACTTTAAATATCATCAAATTCGTATGAAAACTTTAAATAGAATTTTGTCTTGATATTAGACTGGTAAATGTAAAGACAATAGTGGTGGCAGAAAACAAATATACAGAGGCAAATATAGATAGCGTGAATTTTCTGGGTACAGAGGAATAACACCTGAGTCCTCAGGAATGACAACGCATGGGGGGTATCATGGGCGAAACAGTATACTCTGTTATGTCCATGGTACTGCTCATGTCTATAGGCGACGGTTACCACTTTCCATCAGGTGGACCGTCAGCTTGTTTGCCATTCTAATAATAATGTATATATATATATATATTCATTCATTCATTTCAGCTATTAACTCTACTCTGAACATAGGCCTCACCAATAGATTGCCATAAAGAACACTCTTGAGTCACCTGTATACAGCATGCAGCTCTCTGCAATACATTTGAGATCCTCACTTCATCTAGGTTGCCTTTTATTGCCTTTATCTGTACATGGTCGCTACTCAAAAACATTTTTCCTCCATCGGTTGTCATTTAAGCTTGCTTATCTTTTGAGCAATTCTCCTTGTATATAAATGGGGAATACTATTTATTATTCCCCCTAAACGATTACAGTAGAATTTAACAGAAAAAAAAATACCAATAGGACAATTATTATTTCAACCGTTAACTGTCCACTGCTGAACACAAGCCTCCTCCATAAGGGGGGTTTTGCAAGTAGTTGCCACGCTTGGCAACCGCAGTTAGACTTTTAGAGATAGTTTAAAAGGAACGCTGCTACCCATTGACCATTAAGTTGCAATAATATATATTTCCGACAACCGATGGGGAAGAAAGGTTCTTGAGTGGCGACCGTGTATGGGCAAACGCAGTATAGGACAACCCCCCACTAGATGGAGTGACGACCTAAAATGCATTGCAGGGAGTCAGTGGATGCGGGTGGCTCAAGGCCGTTTTTTAGGGCAGTTTATGGAAGAGGCTTATGTACATTTTATATAGCACATGTATACCAAATTTTATAGTGATTATTTACTCGTTAAAACGTTAAGAAGTAACAAAGAAACAAACTCACTTTCATATGTATAATTTCAATAAGGATATCTGCTTAGATTGAACACATGACTGGTCTTATTGATCTCTATTCTAAAATACAAACTTCCTATATCTTACAGTCCATACAAGTTAACGACACAAGGTGAAATGAAAGGTCACATATTCGTAAAAAGACCAGCAAGTTATAACGAGTGCTTACAATTTAATATTAACTTTATGTCTTAATACACAAAGTCGAATGTGCTCGGGCACGGTTGTGAGAAGATGTAATAATGGTAATACTTTCTCTAGTGGACGATTGCGTCCCGAGCGGACGATGTGCGGACTGGCCGTGCTACCTCGACCACCGGTGGATTGGCAAAGAATAGTAAAATAATGCCAGTTGTGGAAATAGGTAAATATTGTATTATAAATAAACCCCTTACTCATAAAATCGTCCACCTTCTCAAACTAACATAGGGGACAAACAAGTATAGGATTCACCTGATAGTAAATTACTATACCCGCCCATGGCTACTGGGAGAACAACACATAACACCAATAGATGTTTTGCCGGCCTTTTAAAAAAATATGCTCATTTCTTGAAGGTTACGATGTCGTATCAGTTCTGCAATACTGCTGCTGGGAGTTCAACTGTTTGAAGGTCAAAGCATTCATAAAAGAAACTGCCTTGAAAAACACATGGTGGAAGACCGCCACTCATCTAAATGGTTGGGATGGAACTTTAGTTTGTGGCGAATCGGCAACTTAGTCGAAACGTTGACGTAATTCAAGTAAACTACTATAGTCTACTTTAATGATAGCGTTAATTCTTTTTACTTATAAAACATAAAAGATGCATAGAAATGCAAAGAGTCTACGTAGTTTCAGTTGTCTCTTTTTGCGCTAAATTCTTAATTTGAAAAGAAATGGCAAAGCACTTCAATAGCTAAAACAGGTTTTAGTTTTCATGAATAAGGTAAGGTATTTAAGGTAATTGGTCTTTGTTTCTTTTGGTTTGGTTTTTCTGTTTGTTCTTCAGTAAATTGGTAGTACCGAGTTTGTTTTGTTAGTTTTAGTTACGTTTCCAGATATTCATTCTTTAGTTTTTTAAAGGATAAAATAATAAAATAATAATGCTTTATGCTGTAGAATATTGGCCTCCTCCATAGTCTGCCATGAGAAATAAACCTGATCCATATACAATTTAACGATTACCTGCAACATATTTACCTTTCGTTGCTTCAAAATAGGCGGAGTATTGAAAGAACTTTTCTTTTCCGTTGCTTATGAATTTCTAAAATATAATACACCCATAGAGTTTATTTACCCATTTATTATGGGTGACGGACTATAGCTTAACTAACTAAACTGGGGATCATCTAATGGACAAAGTTATTTCCTACGTTCCTGACTCATGTAAGGAGGAAAATATAACAATAAAGTAAAAAAAAATACATGCATACTGTGTAAATTCAACAAATGAGATAGGATTATCTATAATGGAAAAACATTGAAGTTTTACTAAAGAATTCTACAGTAATATCAACCACATTATTTTCAATTATTTTTTAAATTTATTTTTTTATATATTGCCTCAGTGAAGCTGCGTGAATAAATGTATAAAATGTGATAGAAAAAATAAATTTACCGCTATAAATTCTTTGTTAAAGTTGACGCGAGGCCGACCGTAAACAATCAGTCCTCGGCTGGCCCCCGCTCGCGTCGCGCGCCGTACGTACGCCCGTTACACGAGACGCGCTCACCTGACAGGTGTTCTGTGCTAAACATTCAAATTTCGAATGACATTCAAATATAAAAATGAAAGAATCACTCACGTTCGGTTTCTAAATTTTCAAAAGTGCACAAATGTACCGTTGTGGGATTCCATTTCTTTTCCGTTAGCGCGTGTGGCTGTTGTATTGTGTACTGTGGGATCCGATGGAACGTTGATGTAAATGTTATAAAGTTCACCACAGATTGTATTACACGTAAATTCCATATTTTGGCTGTATAGCACACCTACCTGAAACCAAATTGTAAGTTGAAATGTTACAGTCGAGACACTTTTTCTTTTTTAGTCTAAACATAGCTGTATATTGATGTCGCCTTTGCCCAATATATTTTAAACAAGTAATAAGAGAAACGTATGAACAATAACTGTAAATTCTATTGTTAAGAAAATGCTCAATATTTGCTATTTATTGTCGTTTTCATTTCGATTAATGTATCATCAACTCCGATTCTCACCGAGCAAGTGTAAGATCGTTAACCCCTATAAAACGTTATCTATTTACAACCCGTATTTCCATGAGTGAAGAAAAAAATAACAATTAATATGTAAATGGCAACGAGTAACAGCAATAAAATTGTTAATTCTGAAACCTTAGCCTTAAGGTTGCGATACTTATATCATCACTATAAATAAAGATATAAACACTTGAAACTTGTTATATCCAAGTTATTAGAACCTATGTAACAAAATGTTGGCATACAACATGTTGAGGTCATAGATTCTATTACCTCTGAACTGTGGTAGCCATTGCGAAGCACTTTTTGACAGAACACAGTTAACTGAGAGTAAAAAAAAAAACATTTTTTGTCTGTATGAAACAGTTAAAAAAAATTAATACACAGTCGTTTAAACTTATACAATTATTTTAATTATACAATTAAAAAAAATATATCTTTTAATTTTTTTTCATTGTTTCTAATGTAATGTTCTATTTTTTTTTTGATGGGTGAAAATGGTATGGTAACCCCGCCTGCGCTAACGTGATACGCTGGCGGAGCACCAGTGAAGGGTGATAGATGAGAATGAAAACAAACCAGTTAGCCCATCATGATGAATTCATCAGGAATTAACCATGATAGTTTTCAAGGAGAACCGCGAGGAGGTCGACCTGATTGGGTATATTGCTAGCAATGGGATTCTCAGTCTCCATTACTAATAATCCCTTTGCCCCCGATAATGTTCTATTACAAAATAACATGTAAAAATTAACAATTACCCGCTAATTCGTTTTAGTTATTATCTTTACTACTTTTACGTGACTTCTAAATATATCTTCATCATCATCATCATCATCATCATCATTATCACAACCTGTTAATGCTCCAAACACCACAAAAAATTTAACTCTTATTTTTTGTGTCGGTATCATAAAAGTCATAAAATCGGCGCGTACAAATTGAATGCGATAAAAAATAATATATCTATGTCCTTCTCAAAGCCAAATACTGTGACCAAGTCACACTCACTTTCACATTTATAATATTAGTAGATACCCAAGGATTAAGGGTAGGCAATATCTATATATTGTAATTCAAATATCTATACATATATTGGCCCAATAATAGATAACTGATGGAAAGTGGTAACCGTCGCCTATAGACATGAGCAGTACCATGGACATAACAGAGTATACTGTTTCGCCCATGATACCCCCAATGCGTTGCCATTCTTAAGGACTCAGGTGTTATTCCTCTGTACCCTGTAAATTCACGCCATATCCCACCCTTCAAACCGAAACACAGCCATGCAAACACAACTGCTTCACGGTAGAAACACGAATGGGACAGAGGTACCTAAGCAATCGACTTTTGTACAAAGTCTCCCTCTGGTTGTTCTTATAAAGAGAAAATTTGAATAATTGGCCGAAAAAACAAATGTTTTTTTTTATTTCATATAGGTACAAACTGTTCCTAACTGCCAGTAGAGTCTAATAGCTTTTGACAGAACGACATCTGTCGACTACTTTATTATCAATTAGCTGTCCCGGTGAAAATTACTTTACCAAAAACAAAACTATCCTATATTTCAAAATAGAGCATTTATTCAAATTGGTTAATCAGTTTCGGAGATGAGTGAACGAAAACCTTGACACTGACTAATAATAGAGGAAAGGAATTGTTAGTTATGGGGTCTAAAAGCCACATTGCTAGCAATATATACACTATCAAGTCGACTTCCACGCGGTTCTCCCTAGAAACCGCTATGGTTCATTTTTATTGAATTTTTCACGATGGGCCAACTAACCTGCTTTCATTTTTACCTATCATCTGTAACAGGTGACCCGCCAACATATACCGATAGCGCAGGCGAGTGATTATTCAATTTTCACCTATTAAAAAAAATACATACTATGGAGACAGTCTGTTCGAAATTTCGTCAGTCAATGAGTGGTATATATTTCAACTGTACATATTTAGATGTCAAGGCCAAAGAAGGCATTGTACTAGTTTAACGCTGGAATCAAGGCTTGTGGTTTTTATTCATTATTTTGTATTTAAAGATAATTTGGAACAAAATTTCTATATTAGAATTATTTAATTTTTTTTAATTTTTGTTAGAAAGTGTAAATAGCGACTTAACATTTAGGGCGTTATCTACCAGTCAACCGTAGACAGGAATAACAGAAAATATATGTAATTGACGGTGTAACGTAATAAACAATATAAAATTAAAACAATAATTAAAAAATAACATATATATATATATATATATATATATATATATATATAATACTCATATTACCTACATTATATATACTTATATCTTCTTTTCATTTAAGAGTTTCCTCTTGTCCGTACAACTAATTCATGCATCTTCTACCAGCCAGCTCTATCCCAGGCCATATCCTTGATCTCCCTATACGACATAACACCTAGTGTTTCTTTTATATGTCCCATGTAGTTAATCCTCGGTCTTCCTCTTTTGCCCTCCATTTTTCCATCTACTATACTCTTTAAAAAATCGTCATGTCGCATAAGATGGCCCAGCATTTTGCCTCTTCTATTCTCTATTTTTTTTATTTTTTTTAATGGGTGATAATGGAATGATAACCCCACCTGCGCTATCGGTATACGCTGGCAGGGCACCAGTGAGCGATGATAGATAAGGATGAAAGCAGGTCAGTTAGCCCATCGTGACGAATTCCACTAGAATTAACCACGATGGTTTCCAGGGGGAACCGCATGGAGGTTGACCTGATAGGGTATATTACTAGCAATGGGTTCATTAGACCCCATTACTAACAATCCCTTCCCCCCTTTCTATTCTCTATTATATATATTATCTATCTATCTATTATATATGAATATATATATATATATATATATATATATATATATATATATATATATATATATATATATATATATATATAATAAATAATAAATAAAATAAACTCGGACCTACTCAGACATAAGAGAAACATCAGTATCAGACAAAGTATTTAATATGAAACCAACACGGAAGTAAACACCATCGATTTCGAAAAGAATTCTCTGAACCAATTCAGAAAGTCTAGTGCAAGTTTCACATAAATTTACATTGCTACAATGTTTAAAGTCAATAATTTGTATTGAATACTCAACTGGGCCACCAGCGAATGGTTTTGGACTCACAGAGATCACCATACAAACTTGAAGTTTGTATGGTGTACATGTGAACGCAGTAAGAAAGTAAATATTTGAAAACACTACCAATTACCACTTTCCATCACTAGTTGTTTGATTAGAATTCCGCTACCATTTGTATGTTTGTGACAGCCAACAGTCGAATATTGGCTACAACTTTTACTACCAGAAGTTCCACAACCCTCCAACTTAGACATCAATCTCCGACTGTCATTTTGTTCACGCACGTTTTGTGCCACATGTAAAAAAGACTCTAAACGCCTTCAAAAAACCGACTTCAATTGTTAAAAACCAATTATTCTGATCTAAAAACTTAACTATTCGATCGAGTTTCATAAAATTTCTGTGAGATCAATCTGTAAGTATATTCTTTCAGATAAAAAAAATAATTTTCTAAATCGGTTTCGAACTGACGGAGTTATAAGTTAATAAACATAAAAAAATCTAATTAAGAGCCTCCTTTTTTTTTTAAGTCAGCTGAAAATACGGACAAATTAAACAGCTCATTTCCTAACTTAACACCTACTTTATGTACTGACTCACACGGGCAGAGCCGCGGGATACGGCTAGCTTATTATAATTTTCCTATCTTTGTTTCTTGATTCTCATTGGGTTGATTGGAAGAAAACCTTTCTAGGCTCTTTCTAGTTCACCTGTACACTAGAGGGCGGATAATATATAGTAATATCTATATATTTTAGTTACAATATCTACGTATATACTAGTCCAATAACGAATATGGTAAATCTGTTATCCAAAACAAAAAAATTGGATAACTAACTTTTAACATATTCGAAAACAGATATCCGATAGTGAAACCCAATATATAGATATTTAATCGGTATCCATATCACCCGTGCCTACTGTGTACTTCGTAATTTTTTTATAACCAATTTTTCAAATATGAATGTACAATAAAGCTTATACAAATAAACAAACAGAAATACACAGTAACACAAATTGTCATTGTCTGGTTAAAGCAATTTCTTCTGCGGACATTGGCGAAAAGCCACCTATCACGCGGATGTGACAAAAACTATCGAAATTTGGTAATCTAATGCCGAGCACGATTCATATTATCGTAGCTTTTTTTTTTTGCAAAGCCGACGTTTGTTGCGAGCGAACTATAAATGCTGTTGCTACGTCATAAAACCGTTTGTGAGTTTATTATATCCTCTCTCCTAAGCGTAATATGTTTCTCCTAAGTATGTTTTTTTTTAATTTTATTTTTTATCAAACTTGATTTTTTTTCGAAGTACTTGGTGCATTAAAAAAACAAATAACTAATCCAACAATATTAAAGAACCAAGTCGATTGCATGGGTTCTGTCCCATTCGTGTTTCTACCGTGAAAAAATTGTGTTTGCACGGCTGTGTTTCGGTTTGAAGGGTGGGATATGGCGTGAATTTACTGGGTACAGAGGAATAACACCTGAGTCCTCAGGGAGTGCAACGCATGGGGGGCGAAACAGTATACTCTGTTATGTCCATGGTACTGCTCATGTCTATAGGCGACGGTTACCACTTTCCATCAGGCGGGCCGTCAGCTTGTTTGCCATTCTAAGTTGTATAAAAAAAAAATATCAATTACAGCGCTTGCTTTATTGGCATTATAATAC